TTTGCAGTCCAGTCACCAGTAATTATCAGTGTATATTGATTGCCTGTTTGATCAATTTCATACTGAAGAATTTGGTGGAACTCTTCAATTTCATCATCACTGGCTTTAGTGCTTGGTACATACATTTGGATATATTTGGAGTAAGAGACTAGAGAGTTGTCAAGAAAAATCAAGAGAAAATGAAAGAAAGATGAATAGGAGGGGGAAAAGAGAAACAGAAGACTAGGAAAAAAAGGAAGTGAAGATAGAAACAATAAAAAACAAGCAATGGAAAAGAGAGGCAGGAGTAGGAGAAAGAATAAACAAAAATATTAAAATGAAAAACAAAGTTCAGGACTGGTGTTGGACCTAGAAAGGAAAATCTCTGGGGAGTTCTTACTAACCAAGGAACTCATGAAGTGGGTGGTAGAGGGATAAGCCATCAGAGTTTCTGGTCTTAGATGCACTTTTTATATGCTGTATGTGTAGATTTTGTCTTTGTTCTGGGCTCCCAATACGGAAGTAGTTTCTTGCAGGTCCTTCAGGTAGCTGTGTTCAGTATCTGACAGGACCAGAGTGAAGCTGGAACAGGATGGCTGATTATGGAGGATTTTGTTAATCTAGGGATGACTGGGTGGTCTCTGGGTTGTAGGTCTCAAAATATGACCACCTGAATTAAGACAATGGGGTGTTGCAGCCGTCACCACTTCAAACTGGTGGTGCTCACAACTGTGTGGCTGCTAAACTCATGAAAAGCTGGATCTGCACTGGGGGTGGGTAAAGGTGGGACCAGCCATATTTCTGGTCACCAAGTGGATGTGAGGAACAAGAAGAAAGTCACCCGTGTGCTTTTGCACCACTAGGCTGCCACCTACCTCCATAGCTGCTCCTAAAAGTTCAAGATCCCTGCCATGTCTGGCCGTTTCTAGCCAGCAGTCTGTCTCCTTTCTTCTCAGCTATCCTTTCCTCTGAGACTCAGGGTTCTAGGATTATCATCTATATTGGTTTCATTTTGTCTTTCTATTTTTGTTGTAGAGGGTATGTGTAGCATGTTTGTCTTTATTGATGACTTCCTAGTTTCCTAGATTCATGTTTCATATATTCCACATTTTGATTATTAATGAATGTTTGCACCTATTTCTTCTCATTGTGAGTTTTGTTCCATCAGCAGATGAAGGTTCTGGAATCTTTGCTCCATTCATGTCTGTAAGGTCATCTCTACTTTGAGATGTCAGCTCTACTATAGTCGTATTTTGAGTTCCTTCTAACCTGAGGGATCATCCCTCAGCACTGTATCTGACAGTGTTCTGCTTCTATACATAAAGTTTCCAGTGGCTAACCATTCAATAGTAAGCTTCTCCTCCTTCCTAGTCTGTCTAGTGTAAAAGCAGTACTGAAATCTGTCTGCCATGGGTAACCATCTTGGTATTTAACATATGAGTAGCATAACTTCCAGCATCACAGCAGCAGCAAGCCACCACAGTATGACAAACTGACAGATGAGTGCTGGTCTAGTTTGGATAGTTTATATAAATACAATTTTGGAATAAGTGGCATTTTGTGTTTGTCGTATTTCACCTAACTTAATGTTTTTGAGACTTATCTACAAAGTGGTGTCTGTAGTAGTTCATTTTTTGGGGTTGAATAATATTCCATTGTTTGGGCTGTTGTTGTTAAGGCCATCCAGTTGGTTCCGACCCATAGCAACCCTGTATAGGATGTCTGAGGAGTAGCTGTTGAGCTTGTTGTTTGGGTATACCACAGTTTAGCCAATGTTAATTGATGGATATTTGAATTGTTTCCACTGTTTGGGAATTGTGACTAGCATTGCTTTTTTCAAATTTATGATTTCTAAATTGAAGATTTGTGTTATATTCATCTTCCTTCTTGCTTTTAAGCATATTTCTTAAACCTAAATGCAAGAAGAAAAAAAGTACCTTTTGCTACACTAAGTTCTTTCAAATATTAGTTTCTCAACAATTTTATTTTTTTAAATATTTTTCAAGTGTAGGTTCAGTTCTTTGGTGATTGAAGTTTCTGTTGCCAGCTTACCTTTTTCATAATAATATTAGGGACAGCCTTATTTGAGAAGAGATTAGAGTTGATTATAATTTGTCTTGATTGTAATATACTTGTTATTTATGTATTTAAAAGCATTTGATTGTGGGTATATTTTGTAAGATTTTGCCACTTGATGGATTTAAAAAAAAAAATAACAGAATTTCTCCAAGATTCCTGATAACTTTTGGTGATTTTCTTAGCCATTTTAAAAATCAGAATAATTTTTATAATTTTTCTTGCATGTGTGATAAGAGGCCTTCATACATTGAGAAGTCATTCTATTAATCTTTTTTAATATGGTGTGTTTATTTTGTAGGTTCCAAAGACACTGGGATTATTGAGGATGTTAAGTGTCAAGTTTTACAGTCACCAAGGACAAGAACAGGTAACAAATTAGCTTTACTTTGTGCTTCTCAAATATTTCCACCAGAGTACCTTTAAGGTCAAAGTAGAATGAATTTTGAATATTTCATGTACGTCTCTGGGTGCATTCACCATTATGAACCCTAGTCGTATAAACAATTAATACACTTGGCTACAACTGAAAGGTAGGAAGTTTGAATCTGCTTATGCATTTCCTCAAGGAGCTTGCAATATACTGGGGGGAGATAACACAGAAATAGTTATAAAACTGTGTACACATTTTGTATCCTAATTTATATGATATTAAGTACGGATGAAATATAGAAAGAACAATTATTTTATAGATTAAACTTGATTTGAGTCTAGAAGTAAGAGATTGTCAGACAGTAAGAGGAAGAATGGATGCTTCTTGTGTGTGCAGAATGATGAAAGTGGTGGAGACCACTGTTGGGTGGACCTGCACATATTAGATCCATAGTTTCTTGGGAGTTTTTGGTGCTATTAAATATTTAGTTTTAGGAGCTTTGGTAGCATAGTGGTTACGAGTCAAGATTAGCAGTTCAAAACTACCAGCCATTGTGAGGGAGAAAGATGAGACTTTCTGCTCCCATAAAGATTTACAGCCTTGGAAACCCTATCCAGGGTTGCTGTGAGTCGGAACCAGTTCCATGGCACACTACCACCACCACCACCATATTTATTTGACTTAGAATAGCTGCTTCTTGATACCCTCTACAGGGTCACTATGAGTTGGAAATGACTTGACAGCACTTAACAACAGCAACAACAAAAATTGTGGTAATATTCAGAATAAGAAATACTTTGGGACTTAATATTCACAACCCTTTTTGTACAAATTTGTCTATATATGAGCATGAGTCGAAAAAATTATCTGCACTCTGTAGAATTTATTTTACTCTACTCTTAGAAATACATCAGCTTTTTATATAATCTCCTTGCTTTTCAATACATTCAACAAGCTTTAGTAGTCAGTCCCTCATTATAACTAACATGTTTTAGGCTGAGTTGGGAGTCATGAATGCACTGCTGTATTCACCTCTTCATCAGAGGTGAATCTTTGTCCTCAAAGGTTTGCTTTTAAGGGACCAAACAGGTGAAAGTCTAATGGAACAAGATCAGGATTATAGGGAAGATGCTTTTAACACCTCAAAATGAAGTTCTTGCATAGTGTCCCCAGTGTGGGCAGAGGTGTTTATATGTGCATTGTCATGCAGTATCACAGTGCTCTTGGATAGCAGTCCTCTACATTGAATCCAAAACTTAGGCTTCATCTCTTCAATGAGCATCTCACTGTAAAGAGCACTGTTGATTGAAGCTTTTTCCTGCTAATGTTCAGGTATTGGTTCTTGAGAATCCCAGAAAACTGGTATTCGCAGAAAACATCAATTTTCCAGCTTATGGTTCACTTTTGAACTTTTTCTTGGTTAGCAATTGAGGATGTTTCTATTCCATACTCTTCCATTTGCTCTTAGAAAATCAACCAAGAAAAAGTTCAGAAGCCAACCATCAGCTGGAAAATTGGTGCTTACAGTTTTCTGGAACTCTTAAGGGCCAGTATTGGAACACTAACAGGAGAAAGGTTCAATAATAAGCAGTGTTCATTACAATGAGATGCTCACTGAAGAGCTGAAGCCTAAACGTGGGATTAATATAAGATAAATGCAGAGGACTGCCATCCAAGGGTATTGTGATCTTACATGACAATGCACGTCTGCACATCTCTATCCACACTATTGACACTCTGCAAAAACTGTGTGTTGAGGTGTTAAAATAGCCTTTCTATACTCCTAATCTTGCTCTGTAGGACTTTTACCTGTTTAGTACCCTGAAAACAGCTCTTTAAGGACAAAGATTCACCCTCAGTGAAGAAACAAGGATAGTGGTACATTTGTGACTTGCAGCTCTGTCTAAAACGTTGTTTTTTTTTTTTTTTAAATAAGGGAATATGAAAGCTTGTCAGATGGACAAAGTGTTTTGAAAAGCAAGGAGATTATGTTGACGACTGATCTGTTTGTCTTTTTTTAAAAGTTGACTAAAATAAATTCTACAACCAGAGTGTAGCTAATTTTTGACTTATCCTTGTTGTTGTTAAGTGCTGTCGAGTTGATTCTAACCCATAGTGACCCTGTATGGGGTTTCCAAGGAGCCGCTGGTGAGCTTGAACCATTGACCTTGCAGTTCAAACGACTTTGCAGTCTGACACATTAGCCTACAGTGCCACACCAGGACTCACGACGTACCCTTGTAGTAGATTCTATATCTATTAGTTGATTTGGTGTATGGATAGACAAACATAACTGTTCAATCAGCGTAAGAAAGACCTTTATTTTTGCTTTCACATCCTGGGAGCTTCAGATTGATTGTTACCTTAACCTTTGCTTATTGGCTATTCTGCTGAGTAGCATTTAGCTGTTTCTCACTCTTTTTAATCCTCTATGATTGACCAATAGGGAGGGAAAAAGAAGCCACTAATTTCCTTGTATTTTGGTCCTTTTTGTGATACTGTGCCAGAATCCCTAACTGTACTTAAAAAAAAAAAGCCTCTTTGAACTTGGTACTCTAAAAAATCAATACCTTAGAGCAAATATTTTAATGCTATTGTTTGCATTTTTTTGTAACTTGAGGTTCTTAGTCCCCCCCCAAAAAAATATGAGTCAAATTTTAGTGCCGTAATTTTATAGCTGAAAGGACTAATAGAAATTACCTAATAATCCTTTATTGTTGCAGACACTTTCTAGCTTACCAGTATTTTTACTTTATCTCATTGTAAGTTTGCTTGACTAGCATTATGATGCTTGTTTTACTGATCTAGAAATTAAGTCCACAGGAGAAATGATATACCCAAATTCACTGTGGACAGTGTCAGAGATGGGTTTGGTTTTGAGTTGACTGTTAGGCTAATACTTTCCCCTCACTATTTCTTGTTGTCCAATTGGACAGTTGTAGAAACTGAAACCAAGATATTGTAAAGGTAAAAGTACCCAACATTATAAATTACTCTTTCAGATCTTTTTTTTTTTCTCATCAAGATTGGCAACAACTGTATTTTTCTTGGGAACCAATTTGACAGCTCTTAAAAACAATAATGAAGGTTTTTAGCTTGGGAAAAAATTGAAGTCTTTTCTTTGAAGTATTTTTCTTTGTTGGTTAAGCTTTTGAGGAAGACTCTCTTAATTTGATGTATAAATTTCGGTGTTTATTGTCAAGCATCTAAGCTGAGGACAGGGATTTATGCTTCTTTTTTTCTCCGCTGATGCCTTAGAGTAGTTTTTAGCCCTGGAATATAATATGTTTTATTTAATATTTAATGAGAGTTGTTGTTGTTAAGTGTCGTTGAGTCAATTCTGACCCATAGTGACCCTGCATAGGGTTTCCAAGGAGCAGCTGGTGAGCTTGAACCACCAACATTGCAGCTCAAACAACTTTGCAGTCTGACGCAATAGCCCACAGCGCCACACCAGTACTCCATTTAATGAGTACTTGTTGAATATTAGGAGAGTGCTGTTGTTGTTGTTATTAAGTGCCCTCGAGTGGATTCTGACCCATTGTGAACTTGTTATAAGGTTTCTCAGGAGCGACTAGTGAGTGTGAACCACCGACCATGCAGTTCAAACCGACATCACAGGCTAGCACATTAACCCACAGTGCCATACCAGGACTCCATTAGAAACCTAGTACTTGTAAATCCACCTCATTTTGAACTCATGCTGTAGAATTCTGTTCTATTGTTTTAATATAAGGGACTTCAGCATATTCATGGAAAAAATGAAATTAAAAGATAATGGAATATTTTCATGAACTTTCTGAATCCTCCTTTTGTAACTTAAACATTTGAAAAGTACATGAAATAATAAATCACTGATTTTTAATCATTCTATATAAATTACAGGCAGTTGAAGAAAATGAGGCAATTTTAGCTAATCTTAGTACAAAGATCTGGTATTTAACATTTAAAAAGAATTCCTGGGAAGGACGTTTAAGAAGCTATGTTTGAGAGAAGCACAATTCCTACTATAAATATTGGTGCTAGTGGAGAAAGGCTTAAATGAGTATTTTTAATTGAAAAACAACCAAGTGGACATTTGAGCTTGGGTTTTAATATAAATGAGAAGTGAAAGTGACAATCTTGTTTACTTCTGATTTTTATAGTATTTTGATAGAATTGCATTATTACACAAAAGATCCAATGAAGTAAGAGTAAAGAATCTTTAAAAATAAATGGACCTGGGGGGCACGGGGGACGGATTGCATGGAGGGGATTGTAACCATGGCACTGATAGAATGAATGTAAAACCAATGTTCTCCCATGTAAACTATCACATAATCCACAATAAAACATTAAAAAATATATATATATGAGAAAAGATTTGAGACAGGGATAGAAATAGAGTTGATAATACTGAATTAATTAGAAGGACCATACATGAATTATAAGAAGACAGTAGTATGTTCAAAGTCTGTGGCATAAAAGCTCTTCTTAAGCTACCTTTACATATGTCCCATGTACGTAGTGATGCGTATGACCGAACAACATATAAAAAACTAATAGAAAAGAGTAGACTGAAAAGATAGTGAGTGGTATTCACTGTTTTCTGTTGTTACATTTTAATAATGTATATTCTTTTCTGTTTGTATTTTAATAATCTTAGGCATTTTTTCCATTAAGAGATCATTTTTTGCCATCTCAGCTAAAAAACTTCTAAGTAATATGTTACATCTTTTTCAATATGTGTGTGTGTATATATATATATATTTTAAATGTTTTATTGTGAATTATGTGATAGTTTACATGGGAGAACATTAGTTTTACATTCATCCTATCGTATATCGTTTCATTGTCATGGTTATAATCCCCTCCATGCATCATGAACCAACCAAAGGGTATATCCTACAAGCCTGCCCTCTTTCTGATATTCTCTGCTTTCAGCCAAGATCAATTTGACGTCAGCAATGATATCCCTTGTTCCACGGCCTCTTCTGAATCTGGCTTGAACCTCTGGA